TAGCTGAAAAGTTGGATCGCTGGATTGGTAATGAGGCTTGGGTGGATCTGTTTCCAGACAGTATGGTGTTTCATCTTCCCCGTCTGCATTCGGACCACACTCATTTGCTCCGTCGGGCCATTGAGCCCGAACGTTAGACCGGGGTCAAACCTTTCCATTTCCTTGCGGCTTGGCTCACGCACGATGATTTTGATCCGTTAGTGGCACGCGTATGGTCTAAGGGGGCTCATACGATTCTTTAATGACGGAGTTTTTTTCCCAGGCCCGCGCATGGAATAGCAAGGTCTTTGGTAATATCTTTCGCCGCAAGCGTCAACTGTTGGCTCGCATAGGGGGTATACAGCGCAAATGTGCCACGGGACACAACACCTTTCTTCGCAAGTTGGAGCAACAGTTAAAAGTCGAGCTGGATGATGTCTTGATGCATGAGGAGCTGTTATTTCTACAAAAGTCCCGACGGGACTGGGTCTTATTCGGTGACAGGAATACTTTCTATTACCATAGACTCCTTAAACATCGGCGGCGGACGAATAAAATTCTAGTCCTCCAGGAGGATGCAGGTGAGGTGGTAGATGATCCGGCGGCTTTGCAGCAGATGGAGGCTGAGTTTTTCGCCCGCATCTATACGGATCCGGCTATAGGGCCGGCCAGCTATCGGTTTCGGGATGCGTTCCCGTCTATAGCCGAGAGTCGTTTGCGTTTGTTGAGCCGTAGTATCTCGGACGAGGAAATTTTGTGGGCGTTGAAGAAAATGGCCCCTTTAAAAGCGCCGGGTGTTGATGGCCTACATGCTCTTTTCTTCCAAAGGCAGTGGCACAATGTGGGTCTGTCGGTGTGTGCTCAGCTTCGCGACATGTGGCGAGGGGCAATGGTTCCGCCATCGCTTAACCAAACGCTCCTCGTTTTGATTCCGAAGGTGGCTAATCCGACGTGTTTGAAACAGTTCCGGCCTATTAGTCTTCTAAATGTGGTTTATAAGCTATTTACCAAGGTGCTTGCGGAGCAAATGAAACCACTTCTACCTTTCGTCGTCAACCCGGCACAGTCAAGTTTTGTTCACGGCCGACATATTACGGATAATATCATCGTAGCCCAAGAGCTCGTCCATTCGATGCAGGGGATGAAGGGACGGAGGGGCTTTTTGGTGGTCAAGGTGGATTTGGAGAAGGCCTACGACTATCTACGTTGGGACTTTATCCGGGAATTTTTAGAGTTTGTGGGCTTTCCGGGGGCTTTTGTGGCTGCTACATGGCTTGTGTGACATCTGCCACTATGCAGTTGCAATGGATAGGCTCGGTAAGTGAGGGGTTCGTGTCGTCTCATGGGATCCGGCAGGGCGATCCGATTTTCCCATATCTTTTTGTCCTCTGCATTGAACGCCTCGCACATATAATTGATACGGCGGTGGCTAGTGGGGCCTGAAGACCAATTTGTGTGGGGCAAGGGCAAGTCTCGGTCCCTTACTTGATGTTCGTTGATGATTTGCTATTGTTTATAATAAATTATTTATTTACTAATAGAAATCTAGTTTCATCTCACGTTCATGTGGTTGATGTTTGTGGTTTTTATTTACAAATTCTTTATATGTATATTGATTGAAACTCGTTCGTAATTCACCTTTTACAATTTATTTTTCCAACAGTAAACACATTTTAATATGGAAAAAGTATTTCGACTTAAACTAAAAACTTGTACTCTTATTTAACATTTAAAATCCATTATTCTTAGTGAAATTCTTAAATCTGTTGTTGCTCCCAAAGCTACTGTCTATACTTTAAACATAGTGGTAATACCATTAAATGACCATAAGAATTTACAAAACTCCTTTGGCCACATTTGGTAAAAAAACATATTTTTTAGTCATTTTAGCATATGTGTTTTTACTACATTACCCCAAATTCAGTTAACCTTTACACAGTTTGTGTTTCCAATTAGGGTTGCAAATGTGTCGAGCAGCTCACGAGCCGCTCGCGAGCGCTCGAGTCAAAGCTCGATTCGAGCTCAAGCCCATATTTTGCCTTGTCGAGCGGCTCGAGATATACGTTAATTACTAAAATACTCATTATATATATA